AGTTTGTAAAGCACAATGTAAGAGGAACTAAGACAAACAATCACATGAAAAAAGAAAAAGCCTATCTATGAGAAACATTGTAGCATCATTTGCAATTAAAGTCCTCCAAATAGGCAATTGAACAAGCACAAATATACGGACAAGGTATCAACTTCATCAGGAAAAAAAAGCGGCCTTCACTAACAGTAAGCCATCACATAGATATACGATCAGGAATGTACAGAGAAAAACTACGGCAGCTTTTACAATCTCTACAGAAACACACAAACAGACAAAGGAGAAAGAGAAGCCTAAAGAAGAAATATTTCAAACAGAAACAAGAGCCAAGAGATGTAACAAAATTCAGAGACACCAAAATGCATCATAAAAAAAAATAGAAAGCTGTTTGTTCATAAATAGCCACAACACAGAATATGTGTCAGTATGAAGCAAGTATATGTTGAACACAATACAATTAGCCTAACTGGATTGTGGGTTTTAATTGTTTCATGTGAGCACGTAAGGTCTTCACCCCCAGAGAAATTAATATTAAATAGGCAGACTAATAAAAAGAAACAAACATAACAAAAGCAACAGTAAATTTTTAGGTTCCATTTGGTAATCTGGAAAGAAAAAGGGAGGCAAGGGAAAATGGTCTTATAGTAACAAACCACTACCTTTCCTGAAAATTCTCTCCTTCCCATATTGCTACAGATAACTAAATGGAGGGAAAATTTTCCTTTCTATAGTGAAAACAAAAATGATCCTCTAAATGGTTAACCTACTATACTTTCTCTTCCCCAGTCCACTAAAACCCAAAATGCAGCATTTTCAGGCAATCAACAGCTTACAAACCAGTTCAAATGAAAAAAAAAAAAAAACTTATAACAAAGATGCTCATAACTTGAGAATTTCGACCAAATATACTGATTCTTCAGTTTTCTAAATAAAACTCCCCCACTCAAAGGATATTAAATCATTTCCTTCAAGTTGTCAAATGGCATAAAAAAAAAAATCAGAAACATAACAACTTAAGGAGAAGTGAAAATATTTCTAATCAATAAATAATGATAGTAATAAACATAAACTCCTAAGAGTTATAAGAGATTGAAACAAACAAATAACTCTCACTAACAGAGAGGAAAGGGCGATTCGAAGTGTACGATTTCAACTTCGGTGAAAACCCCATTTTCTCCAAGAAAACCACGAACGGACTCTCCAAATCCTCCTCCGAAATCCTCTTATTTTCACCGCTCTCGCCATCAACAGAACCAACAGCTTGCAAATGTTCCTGAACCAGCTTAAAGAATCTCATCAGCTGATTCTTCTCGGTAAGCCCTAGACTCCTATCTTTGAATATGGCTTTTCGCGAATCCGGCACATTCCAAAGCTTTCCGTCACCATCACAGACAAAACTCCCCTCAATACTCTGAAACTCCATGTACTGATTCACCCCCAACCTCAGCATGAGGTCAACGACGGAATCAGCACAGAAGAAAACCCTAGGTCCTGCCAAATCGATGCTGAACTTTCGAGATTGTTCGAGGGGTTCGGTGGAATAAGAGGAGATCTCGACTTCGGAGTACATGCGTTGGGTGGTGAGAGAAACAGCGATAAATTCATCAGTATCGTTGGATTGGGGTGGCGGTATATGAAGATTCGGATCCAATAATTGGGACTGGGAATGGAGGAAGGAGGTGAGGTCGTCGAGGGGGAGAGAGGAGAAGTGGGAGCCGTAGAAGGGGTTGGAGTCAAGGTGGATTACGGATTTTCCAGCGGCGGAGGCAGCGGCCGCGATTATGGATGATGGTAAGCCGGTGCCGACAACGATGAGGTCGAAGTTGGTGGGTTCGATTGGTAGATACGACGTCGTCTCGGCCATTGCGGCGGGGGAGCGGTCGGACTAATTGATTCCAACTGTTTTAAACTTACGGTTGTTGTTTATGTTTTAACCGTTATGGATTCGGGTGATGCTTGTTTGGAAGGATAAAATATGTTAGATTGGATTCAAATACGGGGCTACATATTCCAGCTTTGGAACCAAAAAATGATAAACGTTAGGGATTGAATTACTCGACCGTAGGAATTCACGAACTAATCCTCTCTGAACTGGAGGATAAATGAAACTCACCTAACATGTGGGATTCATTTACTTGGAAAGCCACGGATGAAATAACATGTCATTTTACATTATTGCCCTCAACATTTGACTTCCATCTCTCTTTCTCTCTTGTTGAATTTTTTTTTTTTTTTTATTACTGAAACAACAAAAAAATAAAATTTGGCATGTGTTTAAAATAAATTAAAAAAATTTCCAATTTTTTGATCTTGTGTACTTAAAAAAAATAGAAAAAGAATTTATTAAAAAATTGATTATACTCTATATTATATACTACATTATAATTTTTTTTCTAAATAGATATGACTTAATTTCTGACATTCGATATTTAATTACATAAATTTTGAGAGTAAATATGCGAAAATATTCGGTCTTAGTCAAGTTTAAATGAAAGGCTTTGAATCTCATTAAAAATCATATTTGTTTAGTAGTGTTGAGTCTTATTGCATCTAAAATTTTGTTTCCTAGAGATAAACTCTAAAAAATATTAACATTTTAATTAAGGAACATATTTTAAAGGGAAAATTTTATCCACTCCCCCTGTAGTTTACCTTATTTTTAAGGACACCTCCTCTAATTTTTGAATCTTCAATGACAACTTCTGTCAAATTAAAAATATTAAGTGAAATATAATTTTATTAAATTGCCTATGATATATTTGAGGACAAATTTCATCCACACTCCCTTTAGATAAACATATCTTTAATGAGACCCCCTCTGTTTTCTAATTTTTTTTACGTAATTAAATTCAAATCGATTAAAATTCGATTCAAGCTAATTAAAATTTATTTTTTTACATATATTAAAATTTGTGCCAATTAAAAATTATATTATTTTTACATATTAGAATTTGGGCTAATTAAAATTTTGTTTGAGCAATTAAAAATTATTTTTAATCAACTCAAATCAAATTTGAATTAATTCGCATTAAATTTTAATCAGCCTAAATTTTAATATATAAAAATATATGAATTTTAATTGACTTAAATTGTAATAAATCTAATTTTAATTGACACAAATTTAATAAGAAAAAAATATAAATTATAATCGACTCAAGAGAGAATTTTAATCGGCCCTAACAACTCGGATGAAGTTCAAATCGGCTCAAATTTTAATATGTAAAAAAAAAAAATTAATAGGCTCAATTTTTTTAAAAAAAAGTTTACTAATTAGTAAATAAAAAATTAGTATTTACTAACAAATTATTTACTAAAATTGTTATTTATGATTTTTTTAAAAATTTTAAAAGCTCAAATTTTAATAAAATTTTATGTAAAAAATTTACTTGAGGTTATGTAGGGGCTTTTTTGGTATTTTAGGTAAATTTATTTTTTTAGAAATAATAGTTTAATGGTAGGGGATGTTAGTGATGTTTAAATTAAACTAGAATGAGTGTCATTGAAGATTCAGAAACTAAAGGGGGTGTCCTTGAAGATATGGTAAACTAGAGGGGATGTCATTGAAATTTTTCCTATTTTAAATTGACCTAATTTGTGGTATTAATTTAGGCAATAATATTAAAATATCCTAAAATTCATGGAAAATAAATTGCATTTGGATCATTGAAAAAATTTAATATGGTTCAGATTAATTTTGTTATTTATTGAAAAAAAAAATAATTAAGTTTTATTTTTAAACACACAACTCCGGCTTGTCTATAAATAAACAAATAACGACTCAGGCTTGATTGGTATTGATATGTGTATTGTTTTTGTGTTGGAAATTTTTTTTTTCATGATGCATATGATTTTTGTGATTAAAAGTGTATTGTACAAATTTAATTAAATAAATAAATAAAATATTTATTGGTATATTTTGTAAAAATGCGTAATTTATTGATTCATATTTTTTGTTGCAAAAAAAACAATATTAATGGATTGAATTTTTTTTTTTCATTCCATTTTAAACATGGTATAGGATTGGATCACATTGTTTACACAAGGGTGAAATGATCATTTTAACATATTTTATCTTCACATGTTAATGGGCCCACATAACAAATGAATCATATCTAAAGATGGGATAGAATTTGAATCTCATCTTTATAATCCTCTAATCCAAATCACTTTGCATTGAATTGGATTGAGTTCGGATTCCAAACCAATCCTCCCACGGTGAACCAAACCACCTCAGGGTTTATAAAAGGGTCCGCTCACAAAGTAAAGAACACAATTCCATTGTTTCGAAAAACAATCAAAACGAAAACATATAAATGAGTAAGAAAAGAATTCTTGTCTTGTTTAAAATACGAAAATATATCTTAAACCAAAATAAAAATCTATAATAATTTTGAGAATTTATTTGTAAATTTTTTTAAAAATTTTAGTTAAAATATACTAAAATATTTTCAAACTAACTGGAAAACATTTTGAAATATCAATATAAACATTATTATGGTCAATTTTTTCCCCAATAAGGATTCGCTGCCTTTGTTTATCTGTACTTTTTTTTTGTTTTTTTTTCTGCTTATTGCTAGGAAATTTTCCCTTGGGCATTGAGACTTATTGCACAGAATCCTTAACCATGATAGCATATTTTTTTGTCTGCCTCTTATCAATATTAAGGCTTCATACACGCAGCATACAAATAAAGTGTTCCACATAGAGTTATTTATTTATTTTTTTTTATGCAAAAAACGAGTGAGTGAAGACAAAAGAAAACGTTTAAAAACTACCCAATAAGCCCTCATTGGTCGGATCATAAAACCCCTGACCACACCCGTTACTACTCTCAGGAACAAACCTAGTCAGACTAACATAACGACCAAACACCAAACCCCAATGTGAACTCCAAGACACGAACCTCTAACCTCAAATGAGAAGTTCGATCAATACCCCACTAGACCACCCCACCCGTGCTATTCCAGAGAGAGTTTGTTCAATACCTTCAATCAGTAAATTGACCAACCAATCCATGAAGGTTGAACTGGCACTATCGAATATTTTTCAATTTTCAGCTGCGCCTGTCAAATGTTTTCCCATGGGAACAAAATATCCTAAATCTCAAAATCAAATTTAGATAGTAAGTGAAATTTTGGTAACACAACAGAAAATTCACAAGAGTTTTGAAAAGGAGGAACTGATATAAGCCGGCAGAATCCCAAGTCAAGCACTCATAATTATAGCCACTATGCCTCATCACTGCCGTGATCTTGACTCGGCCCGTCTGGCTTCATCGGGTGTTGAAGGAAATAGCTCCACATATCGCGACCCAATCATCTTCTTGTCTTTGCACATTGCTTTCTTCGCCTCCTCAGCCGAAGCAAACTCAACATATGCCTCTCCAGTAGCTTTTCCATCTGGGCGACATGCAATGTGTATCTTATCATCTGCCAACTTGAAGTCCCCAAAAAATTTTACAATAGCAGATTTTGTGGCAGAGTAAGGGAGACCACGCAACTTCAGTATCTCAGTGTACTCCATTTGATCCTTATCATGAAACTTCTTGGATCGAGATGGAGGGGGACTCCCTTGGAAGTCATTGTCATAAATTCCTTCATAATTCACCTCCCCAGCTACAGCATGGTAATAATCCTGCTTTTTGCACCTGAAAACTTCCACATACCTCCGCCCCATGTTCTGGCGATCTCTCTGTAGAGCAATCTCAGCCTGCATGGGTCCTGCAAAGACGACAAAAGCCTCCCCCGAGAATCGCCCATTCTTGTTTGCCAGCAACACATCCACAATATCCAGCCCAGTGAAGAACTTGAAAATGTCAATGTCTGTGCAGTTGAAAGGAAGCCCCCTGAGACGAACCACAGGAAATGCAGAGGAAACAAATCTGCTGCCATAGCCATGGGATTGATAACCAGTTGAACCGCTGCTCACTGCGAAGTAGGGATTCGATTCCATCATTCTTGGTCTCTTTGAGCCGATCTCGTACCCGTCCGAAACCCCCCCGCTCCCAAACATTGCCCTTCAATAATTCATACCCAAAAGCAAAAGAAAATCCCCCACTCAACCTTGTTAATAAAAACAGCCCAACCCATGTTTTTGACACCTAGTTTTCTTATTCCTAAACTCATTCCTCAAAACATTTTCTCATATATTACCAACCCACGTCTATACAAACACAATAAATGCATATATATTATGTGCCAGTAAAGAAATGTATATGAAAATCATATGATGAAGAAACGGAAAAGGCAGTAATGACTAAACCAAAAACCCACAGATACCATCAGGTAGGACCAATCAATAAGAGGCCCCTAGGCTAAACTACAAAAATAAAATAAAATCACATCATCCTCAAGTTGAAGAAAAATTATCATTTGGCCCCATAAGATATCAATAACATGTCTATTGATAGGACACCCACCCTTGACAACCAATGTGGAACCCAAGTGACATTAATGAGCCAGGTAATGTCACAAACCACAGGGTAACTAGGGTAAATGCAAGCAAGTAATAAAGCATTAAAATATAGGCATCGTCTATCATGATTAACCAAAACATATTCAGCAGAAAAGATCACATTTATATAGCAGTGCAGAACTATAACCATGGACATTTCAATTCTCAACAAATTTTCAATAATGGTTGAAAAGAAATTGCTTTCCCTACAGTACAATATATATATAAAGGCAATACTATGACCAATAAATAAACATTTTATGTTGTTCCCAACTTCATCGTACACAGGTATCTTATAGAAGTCTCAGGCAATTCACAGTTCTATCCTCTAAACTTCAAGCCACAAGTTTCCAGCCAAACTATTGGGTTTTTTAGTTTTTAAACCCACAACAAATGATGTGAACTAACGCTGTTAGAAAAAAATAAAAATAAAAAGACCAACACATTGACATAAAGAAATCAACAAGGTAGCCACGTGAAGCTCAAATAAATCTTAATTGAATTGCTTTCAATATCAATAAAATTTTTACAATTTAATCAATTGATCAAATCACAATTTCTGTAGCATCAACGTAATTACTTCTAGAGTAACAAAACTACTCAGGCCTCCTACTTATGGGTACTCAAAACAAACACGTGCAGGACTATTACAACTATTATAATGGTTTGTCCCTGAATTCTTGCCTAACAAAAGTGGTAAATACAGCTCCATAAAAATTATTTTGCTCTACGTATGTTAAGTGCTTCAATAAATATAAAACCTATTAACTTCCCCCCCTTCCAAACACCCAAAAAAAAAAAAAAAAAAGAATACCAACAAGAATGGAAAGATTAGAGACACCTTTTACAAGAAAGACAAGCCACACAATAAAGCAAGTAAACAAAGAAATTTCTTGACCCAGTCTCGGAAACCTTTTGAAGAAAATCCGAACAAATTTGTAATCCCTATAAGTTGAAATTGTAAATAATTAATCTGCCTTTAATCCGTACCAAATCCACAAATAGGCATAGATCCAAATTACACCTTCGTAAATCTCCAATATCTTCATCTATTTCACATATAATCGATCCGCAGAATTACGAGAACAATACCAAATAAACAAAGAAACAAACAGCATCAAGCCAAAAACTCTAAACTCTCAGCATACATATGTGAAAGAATAACACGATCGACATTCATACATCAAGAAGTAAATATGTAGTAACGAAACTCAGAATACAGATTCAGCACATACAAATTTTCCGCAAAAAAAAATTGAAAAGCACAGAGAGAGAACTGAGTTTTCTCGACTTACCCCCTCGACGCGTACATGGTTCCGATAACTTTGACCGTTGAATTGAAGAAATTCCAGACTCGAATCTTTGCACACACAGAGAGAGAGAGAGAGAGAAAGAGAGAGAGAGGGTGGGAGGGGAGGAGGACGAGGGAAAACCCTACGAAGGGTTCGAAGATTTCAAAGTTAGTACCAATCAATGCCTTTCCTAATTTAATCGATACAAGTAAATCTCCCGTCAACAACTGAAATGACTTAAGTATCCTATTGTCACGGGTGTAATTTGGAAAGAAGAACTCGAATTTAACCCCCCCCAAAAAAAGACTTGGGTTTAAATTTTAATATTTAGGTTCAATTGGGGAAAAAAAACTCTAACTTTAATTAAATTTGGGCAAGTCTCAAGTTGAGATTTTGGGTTGTCGGGTTCAACCCAAATATGAAAATCGAATTGAACCCAAATATAGATAAATATATTTAATTAGAATTAATATTTATCTTTACTGTTTAAAGTCCAAATTTTCAGTTCACTTCACGTCTACACCTCCATCACTCCCAAATTTCACTCTCAATGGTCACTTATCCCTTTCTTACTCCTTTTCTTTTCATCTGCGTCTTGTCTGTCATCTCATATCACTTAAAAAAATCAAATTTATATTTTAAAAAATTAAATTTAAATTTTAAAAAATCAACCTGAATTAAGTAATTCAAACTCAATCCAAATTTTAACTCAAAATTAGTACGAATTAAGTAATCCAAATTCAATCCGAACAAGACTGAATTAAACTCGGGCAGTACTCGGATTGAATACTTCAGAAGTTATCGGATTGAGGTAGGGTTAAGGTTAAAGTTAAAGATTATATATCTAGAGTTTAACTAGAATTGATCTCCCAACTTGTCCAATCCGCTCGAGTTGCGCCATATTTTTTCATTAAAGTAATAAGAGTCTGAATGGCATCGAGTGAGGGTAGCATAGACCATACACATTGGCTTCCGTAACAGAAGGAAAGCAGAATACGACGTCGCTTTCAGATTTTATTTTGATTCCCTAAATCATAATGACAATTAACCGTAGATATATTACATTCAGAAATTTTACTTGAACCCCTTAAAGATAGTTCTCATTTCGTAGTGCCCTTTTACTTTTAATTATTATATTTTTTACATTACAGTTTCACTTAAGCCAATACTTTCACATTGTCCCATGGATAACACCCCGTTCACTTAAGCCAATTATCTCATTTTTCTGCTTGAACTATATTATTATAATGTGCAACTAATTCTATAAAAAAAAATACAATAATTCAAGAGGTGAGGTGATATCTTGGCCACAGTTGAAGGGTTGAAGTGTAATTTAACTAAAATATAAGTAACACCGAACATTAACCTACCCTTTCGGGGAGACATACAGAAAAAGGTAACAGTGTGAAAAAAGGAAACTTATAAAAAGCACATGAGATTCCATCACTAAATGTCTCATTAATAAGGTAATTAGTAATTACACTCACTCTCTCTCCAAAGATTTCTTACTTGCAACAACAGTAACTGTTTCTGAATCAGGACATCCCCTCTCTCTCAGATGGTGCCTACGAAGATCAAAATGGGAAAAGTGGGCAACGATAGAGCTAAAAGACTGAGCTTCAAGAAAAGAAAGGACTGTGTCCTGAGGAAGACAATGGAGCTTGCAGTACTGTGCGACATCAAAGCGTGTGCAGTTGTTTTTGGGCCAGACGGGGAGGTCGAGACTTGGCCAGAGAATCCCAGAGACTTGAAAGCTCTCATCCACAACTACAAAGAATATGATCATGATCATCCTGGAAAAAAGCAATATTTGAGACAGGAGATTTTTCCCAAGAAGGACGATAACGACAACCGGCTTGATAGGCTTTCGGGACAGACCACTAGAGATTTATTGAAGGTGATGATGGGTTAAGCCCAAATAGTCTAATTTATGTGTTAAAGTCCAACCCCAGTTGAAGAGCCCAACCTCATTTTGATTCCACCAAGCCCAAGACAGTCTAAGACCGGTTAAACTTCTTGCTTAGCACGTCATCAAGAGGAGAGCACGGGAAGCTTATCTGCACCACCAAAGGAAACGGTCCAAATCCACCAAGTCCAAGACAGTCCAAGGCCGATTAGACTTCTTGCTTAGCACGTCACCAAGAGGAGAGCACGAGAAGCTTATCTGCACCACCAAAGGAAACGGTCCTATCTTTGACCACGTTTCATGAAGAGCTCCCCAACCTCTTCCTTCCGTTGAGGATAAGTCGTGATCTCCACCAAAGATAATCTCTAAGCTGCGATAAAGAAGCCTTGAGGATATGTCATGATCTCCACAAGAATGATCTCTTAGCTGATATAAAATAGCTCCAATCTGGTAGAGAGAAGGACACATGCTCCATTAGAGACTTACAGAAGACGAACCGACTACCGGAGATTACTATTTTCTTTGATTCTCCATTCTCCCTCTCAAAGCTTGTATCTCCATTCTCCATACCTTTGAATCAATAAAATACCCGGCAACTGAAGTCATTGAAGAGTGGACGTAGGTCGAATTGACCGAACCACTATAAATTGTGTCTTCTTTAATTTCTTCATTGATTTCACTGCATTTATTATCTACACTTGACAGGTGGTGTGCAAAACTATTTTTGTGCATCATCAGGTGATAGAGTGCAAATTGGAGACGGTGAGAAATAGGGTTGAGTTCTTGAAGGTGCCCAATACCACAGAAGAAGTTACAACGAGTGAGTATTACTTTGATCCATTGGAGTTGGACATTCAGGCACAGGCAACATCTACAACTCAAGTCGATGCCGGAATTAAAGATAATGGTGGTACTGGTGGTGGTGTCTCGCTGGTGCCACGTTTGATGATGGAGGAAATCAAAGGTGATGATGATAATAACCTACTATGGTATCAAGGTGCTGATCAGATTAATAATTACTTTCAACCATCTCCTCTTGGGGAAGTTTTGCTAGCAGCAGCAATTTTTCCTTTTTAGTACCTATGGCTATAACCAAACATTATTAACAATTTTGTCTCCCTATAGATTATTGTTATTAGTTGTTTGTTCCTCTTTGTTTAGGTTTTGTTGTTTTTATTTGCATGTATTCAGTAATCTAATATCAGTTCCTATATAGTGAAATTCATCCCGTTCGATTCTCATGAGCAAGAAGACAGGACCTGAGTTGTGACTTTCATTGTAATTTTCCACTGCCTTCTGTTTAATAAACAAGCATCTGCAATATGAAACACTACTTACCCATTACAGAGAAGAACAATACTGCGGCAAGGGGTAATTCTATTGTATTGAATAAAAGTTTTAATATGGTACCACAAAACCAAAGTTACCAATTTTTAAAGTGAAGTTACAACAACTACAAGAAAAAGCATATGTCGTTACGGATTTTTTTGTTTTGGCATAATACCGAAGCAAAAAAATGTAATATTTGCCTCGGTATTGCGTCGGCATGTTTTGTCAAAGCTAAAAGTCTAGTATTTATGACTTTTATGTCTTCTTTAACATTGTGAATTTCTCTTCTTAAGTCTTGTACCGTAATATAAGAGACTTTTTTTATGTGGAGTGGTTTATCAATCATGTTTTCTGTCCTATTAAAGACTTCTTTTAGGGAATAAGGTCGAGACACCAAGACCACTACTCAAAGTTTTATACGAGTGAACCTCATTCTTCCAATCTTAGAAAAGGATGCTTAGTGCTACGTCAAGGACACTAATTGTTACCATCATAATACAGCAATCGATTCGTGGTCCCGTGTATCCTATATGATGGATTGCTATCGAGATTCGAGAACGGGAGAAGAAATAGTANAGGATGAATATCACGCCCCATCAGAGACTTACAGAGGACGAACCGACTACCGGAGATTACTATTTTCTTTGATTCTCCATTCTCTCTCTCAAAGCTTGTATCTCCATTCTCCATACCTTTGAATCAATAAAATACCCGGCAACTNGTCAAGGACACTAATTGTTACCATCATAATACAGCAATCGATTCGTGGTCCCGTGTATCCTATATGATGGATTGCTATCGAGATTCGAGAACGGGAGAAGAAATAGTAGAGCTCCATGAATAGAAACAACTACGAAGCTCGTTTCACAGACAAATTCTTTCCAACATGAAGAAGAATGTTTTTATTTTTTGATAATGGGTCTTTTTTTCTTAGTTCAAAATTTTGTTTCATTTTGGTGGGGGAAGTCGAGGACAGGGGAACGACACACAAGGTAGTGTGTGGAATTCAGAGAATCATTTGACAAATTCCTATTCATCAGTGAAAAGATGGATATGGTTGAACTTGATTGTGCTATTTGATCCGATTATATATCATACATTCGGTTGGATTATTTTATTTTATTTTTATACTCAACCGATTAAAATCTTAACTTGATTTAATTTATGAATTGGGTGGGTGTTATTTGACACTTTACCACTATTGATGCTAACATTTCGTCTATGGATTTAATGTATGACACATGCGACACAATGTTAAATCTTGGTGTGTCGAGATAGATATTTCCTCTTGTCGATGCTCATTTTTTTTAATTGTCAATTTTTTTTTTTAATCTATAAGCACGGGCATTATCTAGTTAACGGATACTTTAGAATTAGTTGGGATGGGGGGTACGGGTGGGATGGAGATAGGGGTGGACGATGAGGGTGGGTAAAAGGTGACGATGGACAAAAATTGTAAATTGTACATTGTGCGGGTGGGGGTCATGAATATCTAATAAACTTATTTACTTCTTTTTCTATTAGTTAAATTTAAATCCCAAATATATCAAATTTGCACTCGTTGATGAACTAGGATCAAGCCAAACCCAAAAATAAGCATTACGACATGTCTGGAATCAATGATATGATGGTAAAAAATTAGATGTGTTCTTAAATGTGAGCAAATATTGAACTGATCTTGAGCAACCGATACTCCTTGACCAACAAAAAAAGCAAACCAAATATTGTAATGGATGGGGTTATTCTTACCCCACAAATCTCCGCTCTCATCTTATTAAACTATTAGGTCCCATTTTGTAACGTTTATGTTTTTCGTTTTTCGTTTTTTGTTTTTATTTTGATATTTAAAGAAAACAAGAAAAAAAAAACTCATTTGATAACCGTTTTTTTTTTGTCATCATTTTGTAAATGATGGGCGATTTTCAAAAACAAGAAAAGAAGTTTTTGATTTTTTGATTCTGTTTTTTGTTTTTTAGAAAATCAAAAACCGTAAACGTTACCAAACGAGTCTTAAATTCACCGTTTTTATACTTACTCAACTAGTAATTAAGTACAACTTATACTATACTTACCCCATTAATAACAAAACTTATCTCGATCTTCACCTTTAGGGTTTCTTCTCATACTCATCTCACATAGTCTATGCACAAAAAATTCTTGATTGAATTCTACTATGAGTTTCTTTCTTGCAAATTACTTCAACTGTTGTCGTCCAATCTTTTTCTTCTCCGATCTTATTGTTGCAATAATACTCCTTTTCCACTGTTCACTTCTCTTTCTTTCTTTCTTTCTATTTTTCTTTCCTAATTGTTGGTCGAAAGAAATTGCAAAGAAAAAAAAAAATTTCACACGCAATTTCTAAATGTATAGAAAGAAATATCTTAAGAGTCTTTGTCGAAGGTCGCATCTGAAGCTACGTTTCTTGAAAAGGAAAAAACAAAATCATTAAGTCTCCCTCCTCAAATTACAAAGTCTATAGATTTTTTTTGTTCAATTTTAATAGATAATGTAGTTAAATATATTTTGTATAGACTATCTAAGTTGTGTTATAGAAAGAAATCCTAAAAGTAAATATTAAAATAAGTTTAATTATTAATGGGATGGGTACAGAATGGGGTAGACTTAGTTATTAGTGGGGGGTGGGGGTAAATTTATTAGTTTTATGATTTATAATTTAATGGGATGAGAATAGAGATTTGTAAGGTAAAAATAATCTCACCCTAACTAGTTGTTCAACCCCAACATTTTCCGCAAAAGCTTAGAATAGATAAAAGGGGTGGTATAGAAAAGAAACTTGTTTGGTTTGATTTTCAAAAACTGTTTTTTTGTTCTCAAAACTCTAAAAACAATGAAAAATTATTTGGTTTGATTTTTTGTTCTTCAGTTTTTGGAAAAAAAAGTGGAAAGTGGAGCATAAAAATTGAAAACAAGTCTAGCTTATGTTTGGGTGTTTTGGAGGCAAAAGAAGGAAAAAAGAGAAACAACGAGAACACCATTTGCTCATTAATGAGGCCTTCTTTTCGAACCTCCTTAGCAGCAAATAAGTTATTACTATAAAAAGTATTTTTTTTTTTTGCCTTTTTATCTCAATGTTTTTTGTGTTTCTCTCTCCCCGAATATCACTCTCTCTCTATCTCACTGAGCTCTCTCTTCTTCTCCACCATTCTCACTATAGCCTTCTATCTCTCACGCAATTCTTCTCCCCTCTCTCTCTCTCACGCAATCCATTTCCCCTTTCTCTCTCTACAACAGATTTGTATATGTATAGATTTGTGTATATATATAGATCTATGTGTGCGTGTGTGTATATATAAATATATACATACATATATATATGTATTGCGTGAGTGTGTGTGTGTGCACGGATGGTTGTGTGTGTGTGTGTGTTTGTTGTATGTGTGGGTGTGTGTTTGTTATGTGGGTGTGTATGTCTATGATGTTGGAGAAGATAATGGAGAAAAGAGAGAGACAGAGAGAAAAAAAAGAGAATGCTCTATACGTGAGCTTGACTAGAGAGGGAAGAATTTTGTAGTGATAATTTTTTTTTAGTAAAAAAATGATAAGTTAAAAATTGGTTTTGAGGATCATTGTCTAAACAAGTTTTATTATTTTCAGTTTTTTAAAACTATTTTAAAAACCATATAACCAAATAGGTTTTGTAATATAAAAATATCAAAAAATATTTTCTTAAAACTCTTTTCAAAAATTGTTTTCGGATATGATTTTTAAAGACTTACACTCCAGTTACACCACGTGATAGGGTTGTTCACTTGACTCGATGGATAGAATTTTTGAATTCTATGTTTTAAGTTGATGAGTTGTGAAAGACTATTTCTTTAGTCGATCCTACGCAATTGTTTGTAATGTTATGAGTCGAATTCCGTCCAAAAATTCGACTTGGAAGATCCAGAGGAATGCGAAATGCCTCACCAATTTTTAAACTATAAGTTATTAATTTTTAGGTCAATTTAACAATTCAATTATCAAATTTTTAGTCTACTTTTACAATTATACTATTAAAATATAATAAAAAGATATATAAACCAACACAATAAACTAATAAACCCTAAAAACATGCAATAAATCTAATTAATATGTTCTCTAATAATCTAAAACACCATAAATAAAATACAATTACAAGTCATATGTTTTCTAAACGGTGTTTTTGTTTCATAAAACAACATCGCTTTATAACACACATATTATTTTTCACAAAAAATGAATGTACAGGCAGATCGGGTAATAATACAAAAATTTTATGATTATTCTGTATTTCTATCCAATATTTAATGAAAATTAAAAAAAAAAATCCATTAGTCGGTCAAAAAAATGCAGAGGCAGAATTATTATGTAAGGTAGGATCAGAAATATTACCGAATGAGTCAGGTGGGCGGAATTTTAAATATCCATANAAAAAAATGAATGTACAGGCAGATCGGGTAATAATACAAAAAATTTATGATTATTCCGTATTTCTATCCAATATTTAATGAAAATTAAAAAAAAATCCATTAGTCGGTCAAAAAAATGCAGAGGCAGAATTATTATGTAAGGTAGGATCAGAAATATTACCGAATGAGTCAGGTGGGCGGAATTTTAAATATCCATACCACGTGGATTCGATCCTGCGGTGTGTGTATGATGATCTTGAAGAAATCGGCACTGTTGGAACTTTGACGGAAGCTAACGGCTAAAATAACGTGGCAAAAATTCTTTTTTTTCTTTTTTCTTTTTTTTTTTTCTGTTGG